GAGGCGGCTCTGTAAAGCACTTTCCCCTTCTCTCCTGTCAGCCCTCGGGAGGACTCTCGTCCCAGGTCGGTGAAGGTTCCTTCTCCCTCTCCCCCCAGCCCCTCAGCCCTCCTCGGCGAGGCCGCCCACCCAGGAGGGCTTTAATATCAGCCCTCTCCCGTGTGCGGGTGTGAAGTTGCTGACATGACTGCTGCTGGGTCCCGGTGCACCAGCAGCGGCGGGGAGCCGGATTTAAAGGGGAATTGTGCTGCAGACAATGCACAGCAGCAGCATCTGGAGCAGCCCTGGGGACTGGAGCTCCGGTTTTGACATTGCTACACACACAGCACCAGCAGCAAAGACAGCAGCTGCCTGGAGTGGCTGCAGGCAGCAGGCAGGAGCATGAAGTAAAGCGATCACTGCAGTGCTCAAGATGAACTCCTCTTTGGTTGGCAACCAGAGTGGCCGGCCGTTCTGTCTCCTGGCCATTAGCTATTTGGAGACCATCAATTTTTGCCTCCTGGAAGTGGTTATTATTGTGTTCCTCATGGTGCTGATTATTTCGGGCAACATTATTGTGATATTTGTATTTCACTGTGCACCTCTGCTGAACCACCACACCACCAGCTACTTCATCCAGACTATGGCGTATGCTGACCTCCTGGTGGGCGTGAGCTGTCTGGTGCCTTCTTTGTCTCTGCTGCACTATCCTATTGTTTTAAGTGAGTCCTTGGTTTGCCAAATCTTTGGTTATGTGGTATCAGTGCTGAAAAGTGTCTCCATGGCCTCTTTGGCATGCATTAGTATTGACAGATACATTGCCATCACAAAGCCGCTGACCTACAACACGTTGGTTACCCCATGGAGACTCCGAATCTGCATACTGATCATTTGGCTGTACTCCTGCCTGGTCTTCTTACCCTCCTTTCACTGGGGAAAGCCTGGATATCACGGGGATGTGTTTCAGTGGTGTGCCAATTCCTGGAACACTGATCCCTACTTCACCCTCTTCATCGTGGTGATGCTCTATGCCCCAGCCGCTTTCATCGTCTGCTTCACTTACTTCAACATCTTCCGCATCTGCCAGCAGCACACCAAGGAGATCAACGAGAGGCGAGTGCGCTTCAGCTCTCAGGATGGGGAGGCTGGGGAGGCACAGCCTTGCCCGGACAAGCGCTATGCCATGGTTCTCTTCCGCATCACCAGCGTCTTCTACATCCTCTGGTTGCCCTACATAATCTATTTTCTGCTGGAGAGCTCCAATGTCTATAGTAACCGCATTGCATCCTTCTTGACCACTTGGCTTGCCATTAGCAACAGTTTCTGCAACTGTGTCATTTACAGTCTCTCCAACAGTGTCTTTCAGAAGGGGCTCAAGCGCCTCTCGGGGGCTATTTGTGCCTCTTGCGCTAGACAGAGGGTAGCTAAGGACTCCTCTACCTCTAGGAGCAAAAGATCTTCCAATGGATGTCATGTCTAAGACGCCTGTCAGCTGGACTGGGAAGTGCAGGGACAATTCCGTAAATTGCAAACCAAGTTAAATGTGATTTTAAGATGTCCAGATTTGCAAAAAGGTTTCTGAGAAATGCTGCTGACGTAGAAGAATCAGGAGCACATATCATTGTGATTTCACTTTAAAAAAATTATTGCTGTGGAGGAGGCTGTGGAGTTTCACCTCCATGCTCATTTTTAAGAATAAAGCTGTATCTTGACACTTACCTCTCCAGCTGGTGTGACTGAATGGAGTGGGTGTCTGAGAGCTTCGGCAAAATGTAGTCTTTCTTACAGCTTTACTAGGTTCTCTCGAGATTCGTGCTTCACATGTAAATGATAGATCTGAAGTGGAAATGTCACAGTGTATGGTATATTACAGGGATTTTTTTTTTTAACATATGCCAAAGTATATTGACACAATGTTCCAGCATCATAACAGAAGGGTCCAAACAGTTTGTTTTTCAGTGCTACCTAGACAGGAGTTCTAGAACAGTAGTGAACAATGTGAGCATTTCAGTGTGAACTTAAAGTCTGATTGAGCCGTGAGTGCAGCGATGTGGTCGGAACAGTCATCCGCTTAGGAGGACCGATCTGGCTCCCGTGCCCCGTTTCTCTGGTAGGATGCGTGTATGCGATCAGAGTACGGCATCTGCGTTTTCCTGTTTGTTGTGAATTAAGAAGAAAAAACATGGATCAGACCAAATTTAGCGGTTAAATAAAACGTGTTTTGATAAGAGAAAATACATGTCGCTTTATGATACCAGAGTTGTGGCAGCCACTTGAGGATGATGCCAACATGTGAAAATTATTCTCAAACCAGTGGAGAAATGCCACGGTTTTGCATGTGGAAATTTTCTCAAGAACAACTTTAAAAATAACATGTCCCTTTTTTTTTTTTTAATCTAAATTCTTCTGATATTTTACATACTAGAACTTAAGGGGAAAGGAAAGAAAACAATTGTCTTCTAAACAGCTAAGGGAACTATGCTGTAAATTTAACTGTAGTATTTGAGTTATTCATAAGTGCACAGAGCTAAATCAGAGACATTTTTCTTTGGCCTTCGTGGGATTAAAGATGGTTCGAATATAGCAGGAGCTAAATCCTGTTGGCAAACGCGTATCTAACTGGTCAGACAAAGTCAGCATCTGAGAAACAAAATCTCATTGACCACAGCTTTTTCAAGCTAGCTTAGATGAAATATTTTTGAGTGCTGTAACGCTGACAAGAGGGCATTATGGCCCCTCAAATTGATTATTTTTCCTAAAGAATATCCTTGTCTGTTTACTGATGCCATACTGGAAAATGAAAGTGAACCATGTATTCCTGTAGTAACGGATTACAGTCTGCATCATCTTATGTCACCCTGTCCCCAGTATGGGGATATCCCCTGCCACACCTCTGGTCTGAGAGCAGGTTACGGGCCATGACCGT